CAAGTTTTGAGAGGGAAACCAGCATCGCAACCTGGTAATACTCATCTGAGAACTCTAACAGCAATTTTAGACTTGCCTGCAACAAAGCAGCGTTCAATGAACATTATAATCTAATACATAAGTGAAAAACTAATACTCTAAATGCAACAATTACCAACGGAAGTCAGGTAAAAAAAATTGAATTACAATTAAACCTTGTAAGCATTATTTGCAAGAGACTGGGAGCACCCAAGTTTGGCAAATAATCGTGCTCCAGCCAACCTTATAGCAGGCAATGTTTCTGGTGAGCTCATCATCTGAAGCAGCATCTCCAAGACAACACAAGCAAAGTCATCCGATAACTCAGCAAAACATCCTGCTGCAAATAACGCTCCTTGTACCTCCGAAACATGAGAAGAAACCAAACTAGAAAGCACCAAGTATCGTATACTCGCACTCTGTTCAGCAAAATGTGCCCAACAGCCAAACAGACCCAAAGCCAAAGCCCGATCTTCAACATCCCCACTGTCAAACACAACCTTAACTCTCCTCAGCAATTCTGCCTGCATATGAACCCGAGTTTTGCACAAAACTCCTTTGTACTCTTTCCGTTTGTCCCTCTTCCTGTACTCAAACAGAAAGGCCTTGACAATACAGACCCTTGTGTGCTTGTCTCCAAATTCGAAGGCATTGGCAAGACGAAGAATGATGGCATTGGAGAAGAGCTTGTCCTCACCAGGAATTAGGTCGAACAAGTGGTAGACAGCTGGAGAAGGGTCTGGCTCATTACTTAACTGTTGGAGTCTTGGACTAATTTCTGAAATGGCTTCGAGTGATCGACCCGGTTTCTTGGAGCGCAGGGCCTTTTCTAGCTCTATGCTCCATTCCATCACACATGCTACTGAGTTCCTTTCCATTTCAGCTCAAACTTCAAAATAGAAAATAACTTTAGAATCAAATACATCCGCACCAAAAGAATTCAAAACAAACTCATAATCCATCAGCAAAGGTTTACAAATACCAAGACTTCTCAAATGGTGCCACAAAGTGGATGTGCCATTCTTTAGCTACTAGGTTGCCCCCTTTCCCTTGGCCCTCAAATGACAGGATTTTTTGTTTTTTCTCATATCTCAATGGAGAATTCTTATATCGACTTCTCAAATGGTGCCACAAAGTGGATGTGCCATTCTTTTTACCATCACATGCAGTCCTTTTTACAGTACTTGCATATGCATCTAGGCTCACTAGTATCATCCTCACACTTTATCTTTGTAAAATGCTCCCAAACCCCCGAAGCATTCTTACAAGGCTTTCTTTTTCCTAAAGTACTAGGTAAAGGGGATGATTGTACAGGGGTAGATTGATGAACTTGAGTTGGTGGTGGTGTGTTAGTTGAAATAGGGGTTTCAAATTCTCCTTCCATGAAAATAAAACCCTATGAAAATACAAATATTGCATGCTTCAATAACCAAAAATGTAAGCATTAACATCAATAATTTCTGTGAACTACAAATAAAGCAGCACCCATAAACAAAACTAATAAAACAACAAAATAAACCAAAAACACAGCCACAATAAAAAAGAAACACAACCAAAAAATACGGAAAAGTACCATAAAAAAACACAACCAGCAAGCCAATCCTTTCCTTAGCCTTCAAAATCAATTCTGTCCAGAAAAACAAAAATTACAACAGAGTCAGACAAAAATCAATTCCGTCCAGCAATAGACAAAGGAGATACTCAGTTACATGTTTCAATGATCAATCAAACTGAAGGCACTCAATATCAGTCAACAACAATAGAATCCATCAATGTCAAAACACATTTGAGCTCTTACACACACTTGTTTAATAGCATTCCTTACACACACACACTTGAATTCAAACCTTCCCATCTATCTGCTTTCAAGCTAGCTAGTAACCTATTGAATGAGATACAAAATCCTTTGACATTTACGAAGTTCTGAATAGTAATTACTGACTCTTAACAGGCCAATATTATATAAAACCAATCCAAAAAGATATAAATCACTTTCATAATTGCTGTATTGTATAAAATTTCCACAACATACACACGCAAAATAAAATTCCTTGTCCCAAGAAATAACAATGAGTTGAACATGGCATCATGAATAAGATAAGAATTAAGAACTAAAGACTGGATGTTAAAAAGCCTAAGATCAATACATTTTTCCTCCAATCGGAGTAATACAACTCTACCATAAGTGGCAACAAATAGACCCAACTCGACAAAAAATATACAATCATACAATCAAACAGAATGAAAAACCAATGCAATATCTTACAATAAACACCATACTAGAAACTAATATTCTTGCCAAAAATTTTACATTTTGGTGCCAAAGGCAGAGAATGTTTAAAAATTTAAACTATTTCCTTTATTGAACTAAAAACTCTAATTTTTTTCCTTAACTCCACATTCAGCGGTTTTGACCAGTGAGCTTTTTAGGTAATTCAAAATTTGACACAATAACTAGCATTTGACCCATCAAATAATGTGTTATGCTTATGAGCTCAAAATACAGGAAATTAGGGTTTAGAGATGTTACCTCAAAGAGAGAAAAATCGAGAGAGGGAGACTGAGAGCGGGAGCGACACTGAGAGAGCGAGATCGACTGTGAGAGCGGGAGCGACTGAGAGAGCGGGATCGACTCTGAGATAGCGATAGAGCAACTGAGAGAGAGCGAGTGCGACTGAGAGAGAGCGATAGAGAAATCGGGAAGAAGTTGGCTGCGGATTTGGGGAGAGGAGGTTGAGAGTGAGAGAGACAGAGAGACTTAGTACGAGGCGGAATTTTTGAAAAAAGGGTATTCAGGTCATTAACATATGAATAATGTTAACCTTACCATGTTTGTATACCACATTCTCATACCATTTTATGTGGCAGATGAGGTGAACAACACATCAATTAAAATTAATTTAAAGTTTTCTTATCTTTTATGATTTATTGACACTTTTTAATTTATGTGATTGTCCACTTCATCTGCCACATAAGGTGGTATGAAAATGTGGGATATAAATGTGATAAGTGTAACATTACTCTTAACATATATATCAAGGCGGTGTATTCAATTAGAATTTTAATATATTTTTTTGAAGCTTAGAAAAAGTACAGTAGTATTTGATTATGATTTTTAAGTAATCAATAAAGATTTGATGGTATTCAATTAGGATTTTAAAATCATCAACACAAGTTTAATGGTATTCAATTAGGACTTTTAAAATATTATAAAAAGTATGGTGGTATTCAAAAACTTACTGATTTTGAGGTATTTCATTAAATGATGTATTCCATGAGCCTTTTGAGAGAGTGATATAAATAACAAACTCCTTAAAAAATCTCACCCTATTATATCTGATTCTCACATTATTTTTCTTTTGGGAGAAGATGAATAGACACTTGAGAACATAAACAAGGTTTCTGCTTTTCATCTTTTTAATAGTTATTATCTCTTCACATGCTTGTTCTCATATATGCTATTATACCTTTTTTTCTTCTTTGTCTCAATTTGTATTATCTATGTTGCTTTGTTGTGGACACAAATTTACATACATACGTTTTTACATCTTTCCACTCTGCCAATTTATCAATTATTAATAAAGAGTGGAAAAAAGAAGAAGAAACCAATAATGTAATCACAGGATTGGTAGTTCGGGTGTTTTTGGTTTGTTGCGCACTTCCTCAATCTTTAGGATTGATTTTTCTTTTTATTTAGCATTTATTTCATAAAATAATATTTACTTTTGTAAAAACTGGAGAATGATTATTCGAATAAAGAGCTTAGTTTTGTTTACTTCGGTCTTCTAGTCCCATTTGGGAGAAGACTGAGAAAAGGACCGTCTATGCTACTTATCTTTTGAATAATTTTATCTTTTTATCATTTATTTGATTGTTAATGAGATGCATGCATATTCAACAAATTCAATCGATCCTTTTCTTATGTTCTTTTCTTTGTATAATACCCAAATGTGAACTCACTCGTCGAGCAATTCTAATAAAAACCTAAGGAGGACCTCTAGAACATGGAAAATAATTAAGGGTTTGCATACCAATCAATTAATGAAAGTTTATCAAGCTATATATGCAATGGTATTTATTACATACTAATAAAAGTCTAATCTATACTTTTATTTGCTCAGGTTGGTGTATCATTATAAGAAGATTGAAGCACACTTATTTGCTCAAGAGTATCCAAGTAACTACACGTCACTAAAATTTGGGAATTTCTTTTTTCGCAAGTATGAATTCGTCCTAATAGCCTTTTCCCATATGCTTATTTGAGGTTGAGTTTGTTTTCTGTTAGCCTACCTGATCAAGTTCATGGTTGAGGTTGGTTGTTTTCTGTTAGTGCAGGTTTGTTGCTTCTTGGCCCCTTCTTCACTAGGGACTTGTGTTCTTACATAGAATTCTATGATGTAAAGCCTTATCTCTTAACCATTGGATTAAATTGATTAGTTTGATGCAACGGCTAAGAGATAGAAACCAAATTCTTTTTTTTGTTTTTGGGCTTGTTTTTTTTTTTTTTTTTTTTTTTTTCTTGCTTAGGACCCCTATTTTGGGTTTAGTTTGTGTGAGGCCTTTACTATTGCAATTGTTTTTCTTTGGGAGTGTTTTAATAAGATTGAACTCTTGCAGTGAGTATGAAGATACAATACAAGTACCTGAAGCTCTACCTCCAATGAAAAATTCATTATGTGAATGAAAAACACAACGGTTTTAGACATTAAACAGCCAAAAAACAAAACATACATCTGATGTAGAAAATACAGGTACCAAATCTGCAAATCTTAATTTGCCTTTTGGAAGCTTTAATGAACCAAACCACCATATATTTTTCTTTTCTCAATCAAACCATTTTTTCGCATCTTTCTTTGTTTGGCCTTCACTTTTGCCCTGCATGGGCGTTTAGTGAGATGGGGTGCAAAAGCCAATAAGAAGAGAAGGTCGAAAGCTTCTGTTCAGAGGTTGAACAACAAAACGCAGCCGCGCAGAAAATTTCTCTATACTGTGCAACAAAGCTTTGAATCAATAGAAGCCAAACATATGCAAAACGCTTGGTAGCCTGTCAAAGGATATCTGCAAAAGAAGAATACGACACTCAGAAGCCTAACGCATATATCTTCCCATTCTCTTCATTCGCATTAGGCAAAAGATTTCAAATATGCATACTTCAATATGGATCACCTTGTTTGCTTTTATTATTAGACATAACTACTGAGTTTCTGCTTATTATACCTGTAATCCATCACATACTTTGATTTCCCAACCCTTCCAAGCTGCAGAATTGTCTGCTTTCCGTTCTCCTAGCAAGACATAAAAAAAGTTAGCATCCCAAACCAAACATGTTTTGAAGTGAAACACTGGTTCAGTCACCCCATTATTGTCATAAACAAAACATTCTTCTGAGAGTCTTGATCACATTGTTTCTACAGATGGATATGCAACATAAACAGACATATTACGAACATCCTAAACTGGGTTCTGTTTCCCAATGGTTTCTTAGTAAGTAAGTTGACATTTTAGATGAATCTGATTAAAAATTTGAGTCACGATTACTTGTTGTAGTACCTCTAGAGTCAGCTGGAAATTCTTAACTGAACTTTGGATTCTAAGCCCAGCTCTTCCCCTATCTCTGAAGTCTAACTCATATTGCTTTGAAATCTGAGTGAAAATAGAAATCAATCAATGGACAGAAACACAAAACAAAACATGACAAAATTGTATGCGCTGAGGTAATATTACATCCTTTCGTAGACCTACTTTATTGTAATTGGGAACCCTTGAGCATAGCTGATGGACTTTGTCCAGTTTCTCCTCCCATTCCTTTGGGAGTCCCTTAATGTGTTGTACCTACAAGAGAAGACCGTGAAACACTTTAGTTAAGTAGTTTACCCATTAACTGGATTTCAGTATGGAACTTAATAGTACCAGACATGATAATAGTCAATAGAAAAATCTGCTCTATATATGTGATCAATTCTTAATGTTGGAAACCTTAGATATCTTGGAAACTTTTGTGCTCACCTGCGTAGTATTCTTTAACTGCATGGATTGATGCTTGGCTATATATGCCCTCAAACGTCTGTAACTTCCTGTCCAGCTCGAAATTGTTGGCGTAAACCTGTAAAGATAAGTAAACATTACAAGTTGAGGGAGGAGAGTGTGAGCGTGTGTCTATGTGCGTCCGTTTGTGTGTGTGTGTGTGTGTGTGTGTGTGTGAGAGAGAGAGAGAGAGAGAGGAGAGGAAAAGGCTTACGATACAACAGCAAGAAGCGACTTAGACTGTCTGCTCAAGGAATTGGGACAACTACCCTGCAATTAAAACCTTATCATCAACCAATTACTGATAAACCTATTTGTAAAATTCATGGAAAGATATCTGATTGCCACTTTTACAGGTAATAATTCATAAGAGTTCAATTTCTAACCTGATCCCATATATGGTATTTTGAACCCATGAGGTTTGCATTTACACTCCCAATAAAACTATCATCTGAATGAGATAATATTCCCTTTACATTCTGAGCAATAGTTAATTCAGATTTCCCATTCCTCCGCTTATGGTGTGCAATAGCTAGTTTCCGGTCTTGCCTTCCCTTGCCTTCCTGTAAGTTCACATATACCACACCAAAACAATTGACTCAGGAGTTTAACATGATTTACCTTCTTTTCAATCTTAATAGTTTAGTTTATCACAGAAAACAACTACATCCACACACAAACAGCAATAGAGAAGGGCAGGTTAGAGGAATAGGGTGTTGGAAAGTCTTATCAGAAACTCAAGAATGGATAAAGCCATGAAGTTTATTATAGAATCAAAGTAATAATGTAACATGACTAATATGTCAAAAAAGGTGAAGATAAATATTTCGAATGATAAAAAGAACCCCCTAATCCTAATCCACTGGGAAATATCTATGTATTTTCACTTCATTTATGTAAATTGGTTTCGCAACGTTGGGTTATGATTATAGTCTAATGTAGTAATGTAGCTTCTTTTTTAACAATCTGAGAATTGACTGACAAGCCAACTACAGGACTATCAACAGCAGGAAGTGTTATAGAACACACACCACTATGGTCTAGGCTAAACATCGAACATAACATAAGCAACATCCATCGATTATTACATTATCATGAGTACTCAATACAAGTATAAAGCAATACCAACTTCAGAAAAGTATCTTGTCCAAAGTCCAGTGACAGAAATTAAGATTTCTAATAATTTGAGATTAAAGATATTTGGTGAAGGAAAGAAAAAAAAATTGAAAGCAACAGTGCATTATAATAACATTATTGAACAAGCAACATTAGTGAAATTAATATGCTTATATGCTGATTCAAACTGAACCCAAAAGTTTTTCAAACTAAAGACAAAATGAGGATTGTTCCAAATGAGATATGCTTAACAAGTTCAAATTCCAGACAACTTACATTGGTATAAAGAGAATACAGAGTACCCCCATCTAATCCTTCTGGGCATGCTTCCTTCACTATAACACAAGTGCACCTTCCTACATCCATAGGCAGTGGCCTGCACAGCAAAGACCTAAATCCACACCATACCAAATTCACACACACATACAATTAGATTGTCAACAGCAAAAAAGGTAAAACGTTTACCACAAACAAATTAAGTAGAGAGCTCACTTATTAGGCAGAGTAGACCAAGAAGAGGCGGGGGCAGCCTCAGAATCAGAGTAGTCCCAGATCTTCAAAGAGCTCGAATTCTCAGACCCATTACTGGGTGGGTCCCAGATTGTGGACCCACCAAAGAGTACCTTCTCAGGCTCATTCATTTGCATACAAAACTGAAGGGAGGACGGCTTCAAGGCCCTGCAGCCTGTGGACAAAGACTTCAAATTCTTCTGCTTCAATGGCATCAAAAAAGAAGACCCGTTTTCTTGTGCGACCAAATTCTCTTTGTCATTGTCCAAGGCAGCTTGTTCTTGCTTGTATGGCATGGCATTCTCTTTGTTGTGGTTTAAAATTGATGGGTTTGGCTCCAAATTGTGGTTTTTGGTGTTCAAGCTGACACCTTCGCTGTAGCTGCGGTTGTGTTTCTGGTCAGTGAGAGGATTGACATAAAGGGAGTTGTACGAGGATTGCCGTGGAATTAATGTGGTTTTCTTGCATCTACTCATCATAGTTCAGAGAGAGAGAGTGGTAAAGTTTGGGGCTTTAATGGAATGATTGTGAATGCTGGTTCTTGGTTTTGTTTCGTGACAGATTATGAGACTGCTGGAATTTGGTTGGTTGCTTTGAAGCAAATCATCATACAGATGGTTAACACAGAGAGAGAGAGAGAGAGAGAGAGAGAGAGAGAGAGAGAGAGATTTGAATGATGTTACAGAAGGGAAGTTGAATCTTCAGAGAAGAAGAGATTTGAAAGATGTTGGGAAAACAAAAACTGGTTTTTACTGGATAGTGGTGTCTACTGTTTTATTATGTGTGTGTGTGTGTGTGGTTTTCAGATGTTAAATTCATACATACAAGTACAACACCCAGCTTTTTCTTCTACTACATGTGCAATAGTGGTGGGCCAATCTTATGCTAAGGTGGGGCTTTCTCCCTCTCTGGCTTACTGGATTGGGTAGAGGTTGTGTTTTGAATTTGAATGAAGCATTGGAAAGTGCGGAGCTTTCGTGTTTGGTTTCTAGAGGAAAGGAATTAGGATGTTTTATTTGTGTGGCGGTTGGTGGTTTAACGGTAACTATTCAAATTTTGTTGACTTTTTGTGTGGGTTGAACTGTTGATGGGAGACTCGATAAAAAAAATCTGGGAAGGAACAATGAGCGGGAAACATGTTTGAATACATTTTGTTCTACTGGGAGATTTAAAATCACGCCCAATACCCAAGTGACTTCATCATAATTCTTGATAGCATACTGCATACTTTTAGCAACTCAATTGGGATATATTTATATATATCTTTGGGGCAGATGCGTGGCACTTTAAGTTTTGCCACAAGTTCTTAATCATTGGATTAACACATTATGAATTATTGAGATTAAATCTCACAACTAATTTATTATTATCATGTTAATAATACTTTTATTCAAAAATTATTATTATTTTATTAGAATAATTAAGATTGACACAGGTCCCCAAACTTTCTCTCTCTTTCTCCATGTAAAATAAATTGCCACATTTATCTTCCTATATGTCCATCCTTGGGTATCAATCAAATGTACAACCTAAACTCTCCAGTAGATGCTATGGTATCTTGGGGAAAGAGGATGATGCACGAAGAGGTCAGGGTGGACCGACCCTCATCAATCCTAACTCATGTGGATGGGCTACCATGACCTCCAAGAAACTGAAGACGGAACAAGGGCCATAAGTTAGCACCGCCAATTTGCTTTTTTCTTTTTCTTTTTTGGCTTACATTATATGTCATGGGAAGTTACTTTGCTTCTTCGAGGTTGCTAAGGTAATGGACCCTAGTGGTTTTATTTCTTTCCGGCCCTTTGAAATATCAATATTTCTTTGTTGATGAATATTTCTTTTCTTTTCCTAATGCTTATCATTATTTCATCACAAAGCTATGCTTGCTTACAATATTTCATTTATATGTTGATTTTCTCATCTGCTATGTTTGTACTTTATATTTTTTTTATCATTTTCAAATGTTAAGGAAAAATATATCTTTGTTTTACACATTCCAATTGTTTTTTTTGCTACATTTTTTATGCCATGTATGCCGATAAGATAATTCACCATATACAAAACATAAATATTAGAAGCAATTTCTTTTTTGGCTATACTACTCTATGATAAATATTATAGAAAATTCGGTATAAACTCAAAAGAAATTGAAAATAGAAGTTGGATGCAATCCTTGTATTTTGTTGTTGTTGATACAAGTTCTTTGACTTTTGTGCCACGTACATTATTTTTTTTTTTTTTTTTTTTTTTTTTTTTTTTTTTTTTTGATATTATATAGTTTTTTTAAAATTACTTTGTTATTCCCATCATGCCCCTAAAAATTAAATAAGGTAAGAAATTTATATTTGTCATAATAATTAGCTATTATATTTTTGAAATAATTAAATAAAGCAACAAATCACGTCTCTTATAATTTTTGAAATAGCTTTTATATTTCAGTCATGCTCCTATATGAATGTTGGCTTTATTTTTGTTGTGGCTTTGTATTCTTGCACTATGGCAACCTATACACAAGGTACATAAATAGTCTTTTACTCTTTGCCACAACTTTTGTTATTCACTGATTTTTTTTATTTGTTTTCTTCTTTGATAATACAATTCCTCACTAATATACTCTCATTGTTTTACGTTTGATTTTGTTTAGCTCACTTTTTTTCTTCATGTTTTTGTTGCTGTAAAGTTCATTCCCACCTAATATCTTTAATTAAGATGCAATTAACCATTAACACATGTGGGTTTTGTGTTTTACCCCCCACATCATTTTTTATTCATTTGTTTCTTAATAGTTAATTATTTTCCAGTTTTTCCCATGTTTTTGTTGGGGAGTTTTACGATTATTGGTTGTATCACTCAAATCCACCCATTTTATCTCAAATCTACATGCTTATCAGGTATAGTAGAGTATACTACTTATGTGTTAGGTACATTATGTTATATTTACCTAGTAATTAGGTACATTATTTTATATTTACCTAGTATTTAGGTACATTATGTTATATTTACCTAGTATTTTAGGTACATTATGTTATATTTACCTAGTAATTAGGTACATTATATCACATTTACGTAGTAGTCATGTAAATATTTGTTGGGAAGATATCATCAATAATTCTCCTACTGTCATTGTTTCATATGAACTTCTTTTATGTCATGGCGGCAATAGAAGGATTCCAAATTTAAAATCTGAAATCTATTTAGAAGGAAAGAATCGATACATTAATTTGGATTTTCAATTACTGTTTTTTCCTTATTTATCTCAAAGAGTAAAATTGACACATGAAAAAAATTAATAAAAGTCAATGGGCCTAAATCTACAACAAAAAAAGTGTGGACTAAACCTAATGACGGTTAGGAATTTTGAACTTAGATTGAAGAACCCATAAATATTAAAAGGTAAATACTATTTATAAAATAAATATAAAAGAAGTACACAAAACTCTATGATAAAAATACATGAAAGTATGCCACTTTAACTTGGGGATGTAAAGGGGCGTATATGCTATATTTACACCCTAGCCGCCGAAAACACTTGCAATGCAAAGGTGTATCCTGTTGTGATTGTAGGAAACCACCATGAGATTGAAAACTAGATGCAAAATTGCATCCGTTTTTACGTCTCCATTAAGTGGGCTCTATGGCTGAAAAGGAAGAGAGAGAAGAGCTAAAAGGGAGGAGAGAGGAAAGAAAAAACATAGGCAACCCAAACTCACCGGGGCCCACTAAATTGAAAGGCTAAGCTTCCCTTCCTTTTTTACATTAGTCCAATTATGAACAGCCCAAATCAATTTCAATATGCCAACAATGAAACATCCCAGTAGTCCAAAGTATACATCCCCAAATTCACATTTTACCATTGGAGAAAAAAAAAACCCAATTTACACTTCTCAAGGATATAAACAAGATGTAAAAGTGGCTTTACATCCCTAATTTTATAACCTTGCAATGGAGATGCTCTAAAAGTCATTAAGAATTTGTCAACTCTATGAAAGTTACTCACTTACAAAAAGTCTTTAAACGCTAGAATGGGTCAGGTCGAGCGGGTCTAACCATATCGAGCTGGGCTTTAACCAATTGGGCCTCGGGCTGCCCACTTCGGCCCACGGGCAAATGATACTAAATAAGCTAGGTTTCTAAAATTTTATTTCTTTGCAATTTGGATAGACCGATAGGCCATTGCTGAAAATGAGTGGCTAATCTCTTTCTCCTCCTCAGTTCCACTTGTGAGAGAGAAAACAAATGAACCTACATCAAAATCCCAAAGAAACATCATGTTCCCGCTCACTACTATCCTCTCTAAAACTTTCATATTTTGATTTGTTGGGAATTTGATTTTATAGTATTTTTAATTGAATCCAAAGGGGGGGAGGGGGTGTAGTTCCATATTTATATTGTAAACTTAAGTAAATGAAGTAATATAAAAATAAATTAAAGTAAAAAACAAGACATTTACTTAAATGTTTAGAGAGGAAATACGGTAATATATGGCAAAAGAAAAAAAAAACCACAAAGCAAATGGGTGGGCCTAGTCAGGCCGGGTCGTGGGTGGGCCGGAGGTTTCAAATCTTAAACCCAAGCCCTACCCAATGGTGAGGGAGGGGAGTGTATCCAATTCAAACTTTTAATGACTTTTATAGATTTTAAAAGTCTAGAGGTATTCAATTAAAAGTCTAGTGATTTTCAAGTGTGACTTTAAAAAATATTTAAAAGTTTGGTGGTATCCAGTTGTGACTTTTAAAAAGTCTTTAAAAGTTTGATGGTATCCAAAAAGTTAATGACTTTTAAAAAGGTTATTAAATGAATGACTTTTCCATACTTTTAAGGTTAATTGTTAAGAGCAAGAGTCTTGCCAATTTATTAGTAACTTTGATCACCTCTATGAAAGTATTTAAGAATTTGTTAGTTCTATGAAAGTCACTCACTTGAAAAAAGTCCTTATAACTATGGATTGGATACACCCTCCGAACAGGTCGGACCGAGTAAACATAACCATTAAACCGGGCCTAACTTTAGCCCAACGAATCCCAGGCTACCCATTTCGGTCCCGCGCCAGCCGAATGATACTAAATAAGCTAGGTTTCTAAAATTGTCTTTCTCGACAATTTGGATAGACCGATAGGCCATTGCCGAAAACGAGTGGCTGATCTCTTTCTTCTCCTCACTCCCTCCTGTGAGAGAGACAACAAACAAACCCACTTCAAAATCCAAAGAAGCATCATGTCCCCGCTGACTCCTATCCTCTCTAACACTTTCACCCATGGCCAACAACACACTCACACTCTCTAGCTCCACTCTCTTCCACCTCACTAGAAAACCCATTTCATTCACTTCAACACTCACCCTAAGAATCAAAGCGAGGGCCTCCACAGCCATTGCCATGGCTTCTACCACCAAAACCAAGGTGGTACCTGCAGTGATAGTCGGTGGTGGAAGGGTTGGCAGAGCCTTAGAAGACATGGGCAATGGTGATGACTTGCTGGTGAAAAGAGGAGACCCTGTGCCTCTTGATTTCAAAGGTCCAATCTTGGTTTGCACTAGGAATGATGATCTTGACGCTGTTCTTGAGGCCACTCCAAGGCCTAGATGGAACGGTATTGCCATCTGATTGCATTTATTTATTTTTAATCTGAGAATAAGGAATGGTAGTTAGCAAGTTTTTACGGAGTAGTTCGGATTGATTGTTGAGAGTTGTTTGAAGTGAAATTTAGGTGGTTTTGTGATTCAATTTTGTATATAGGATTTGGATAATGATTGGGCGTGTGTTCTTCTGTAATGCTAGAGAAAAGTTGATGCTTATGGTCATGTTTTCTTTTGTTGGGAATTTTCTTTGAATTTGGAAGTTGACTTTGGTTGTTTTGATTGAATGCCAGTAACCTTGTTTTATTCAATGGGCTGTCAGAATAATTTGGTTAACTTTTGTCATAATGTTAACTAATGCTTATGCATACCCTTGTGAAATTATTATCCTTGTTCTTGGTGCATGAGTCCTTTTGGCTTTAAACCCTGTCTAATGTACAGTTCTGAAGTTATCTCGATCATTAGATCAGATAACTTTTATGCTGGAAAACCTACTGCATCTGGGGTGACTTAATAGAAGCATAAAGCCCGAAGCATGATGCTAACGGAACACTAAGATTTGTCTTTTCGTGTGTTTAGTTTTTCCGAATGTACTTAATATTTAACCACAATACTGAGCTTAGCAACACCATCCCCTGTTGCCCTAGCTTATTGCTAGGGTATAATTATCAGATAGGCAGCCTTGGCTCTGAAGCAAACTGGCTCAAGTATTTATAGACATGACATGTGGTGGCATTTCAATGTTGAATTGTACTGTTGGTTAATGGATAGGGTGCTTACATTGTGTTTCCCTTGGAATTCTTGGTACAAACTCATATTCCTAGTGATGTATCTAGAAAATAGACCTTATAACTGTTACTTATTATATATTAAGCTGGTAATCATGTGGGTCCAAATTAGAAGACTAGATTTTGAAGGCGGCTGTTATGTCTATCATAGTTGTATAGTTTGACTTGTTATTGACAAAAACATATCAAATGTAGTGAAACTGATCATTTGTCCTGTGACTTCTTCCGTCTTTCATGAATTGGTCCATTGTCTTTCAATGATTTGCTGCATTTACTTGCTAGTTTTCGAAGATTGTAAAATTGATAAAAGGGTTTGGAGTTTGTGACCGAATTTCCCTAGCTTTTGTTTGTAGAACTTCCGTTAACTTAGTTGTTTATAGATTGTAGGGTGATATCAGGTTGACCTACCTATAATGAAATTTTTAGCTGTTCACGTTAAGTTGTTGAAATACATGTTCAAGCCTTCATAACTTCCTCTTCCTTTCCTTGTTTTTCAAGTTTCCCAATAACAAAACCAAAGAACAAGAGTCAGCACAGTCTTCTGAGAATGATTTGGTCTGGATTTTTTACTTCCCTTCATTTGCAAGCCCTGTTTTGGATTCTGGCAGAGGTATGGATGTGACCCAATGCACTTGACAATCTAGCAGATTGGTTTTTTTTCCAGAATGGAATGCTGGAACCGTGGTTTGAAAGTAAAGGTCTTGGTGATGCGGATCAAGTGCTAGCATATTTTGCTGTCTCCAAGCTTGGAGAACCTCCTGTTGATGGAAAGACAGATACCAATCCTGAAGGACTGACAGCATCATATGGGAAGTGGGCATCTGTAGTAGCTGAAAGATTACAGGCTGGAGGCCTTACTTGCAAGGTAAAAGAATAATATCTTCATAACATTTTACACTATTTTGTTATCGATCTTTGTGTAGCATTCTTCTTTAGTAAAAGGAAATATTGAACAATTGCGTTTTTTCTTTTTCCTTCTGTGGGGTTTGGAGGGGGAGGGAGTTGTTGAGCGTTCTCTTGGTGGTGGGGGTTTGAAGGGTATGGGTTTGTTAAGTTTGTACCTTCAGTTTTGGGATAAACTTAAATAAGTCCGAAGAATTGTATAAATGAATGAAAATATGAAGCAGGTTCTCAACAAGGAAGCATTTCAGAAGCAGATGTTAGAGAAGTTGATCTGGATTTCAGCATTCATGCTTGTTGGAGCTCGTCATCCGGGAACATCTGTAGGTGGTGTAGAGAAAGAATACCGCTCTGAGGTAACCTATCTTTACTTGATAACTTAAGGTGCAAGAAAAGAAAAGAAAATGTCTGCCTTTGGCATGATGATGTGAAATAAGATCTTTGTCCAAACAATTTCTACTTAATTAAATTGCGGATTGGGAGATGCCATGAATAAAAGGATGTTTCCTCTTATTCATGCCTTCTTATTTCCTAAACTTACTTTTAAATAGTAGTTATTACCTTTTTGGCTATCGTAATTCTACTATGTAAGGCATTAGCTAACAAAATGGAACTACATGGCTGGATTATGAAGAGAGAGATGAAATTATATTGCACGACTGGAATCTGATGAGATAATATAGTGCAATCAATTACTTTTCAGAGTCATTAAATAATTAATAATTTGTTGTGTTCTATTTCACTATTAACTGGTTTCATATAGTTGATGTGCTACAATACCAATTTTAAGGTTGCTTTCTTTTGTGTACTTTTCCTTCATCATCATGCATGGCTTCCTAGTTAACATAACATAGAGGTTTTGTTGCTTTGTCAAGTGATTTTCAACAATAATCTCATTTGCATGTATGTTCTCATTGGTCTTGTGACTCTTTTAACATGCCTCGAGAGGTTTTTCATTTTCCATTAACATGTGTTTGTTACAGAATGCTGATAGTTACTAGTTATGGGCCAGGCCTAGTAGCATTATTGGGAAATTATGTTGGGTTGGTGTCATTATTCCATTTCTTTTTAAGGAGATGAACCAGCCTGGGTGGGCTGGGGTTGGGTGAAAAGTAAATTTTGTCAGGGTTTGTGGTGCTATCAGGTTTTTCTTTGATTTACGTCCAGCTAAACCACTCTATATAATTTCAGTTGGCTGTGAAAACTCTATTCTCAATGATAACAGCAGAAATCTTTTATTTCAACAACAAAGAAATGTTTGACATATAAAATATGGTGACATGAAACGACTTTTAGGTTAGTACAGAATGAAATCCAGCCAAAGTTCTTGTTGTTATGCAGGAAACTTTGAGCTCATATTGTTTATGTGTTGAGAAAGGGAACTGATAAAAACTTGATCAATATTATTTTAGGTGTCTAGCCTCATCGCAGAGCTTGCCTCTGCAGCAGCAGCAGAGAAAGGGTTGGTATTTGAAGAAGCCATGGAGGATCGATTATGTGCATACTCACGTGCTGTTGCTCACTTTCCAACTGCAGTTAAAGAGGTTAGAGATGCATGGAATTATAAATTTTAAGTTTACTAAGCATATATGTATATGACTCATTGAGTTTAATTTGTTTCTCACTTTGGAGATTGCCTTGTGCTTGCAGTTTAAATGGAGAAATGGTTGGTTTTACTCTCTATCTGAGAAGGCAATTGCAGCGGGAAAGCCTGATCCCTGCCCCCTACATACAGCATGGCTCAAAGAGTTAAAAGTTGTCTAGAAAAACAGACTTCAGCTTATCAATCGTTTGGATCTCCAACGTATATCAACAATTAGCTAATGCAACTAGGGAAGGTATCTTGTTTCTGTTCCATTGTTGAGCTACTTGCAGAACTACAAATTGAATTGTTTTAAGATCTGTTTTGTGCTTTCTTAAAAGTGGTTGCCTCTTACTTCACAAAGAAACATTGCTTGCCTTTTGAAAAACCACAGATGAGCCACCTTATCTTCGATTATAAGGAGAAGTGTTGTGAATATTGTTAATCGTATGGCTCGTCCATTAAAATAGTTGTGGATGCAGATATTTAGAAGAGATTTTCCTGATAAATAAAAATTGTGTATGTCATTGATAACATCAAATTTGACCGAGCTATAAGTTTCTGAGCTATATGTTTCTCCTTTTTCACTTGGCTAGACCCGTTGACTAAAGAGAAGTTAGATATTGTAATATTCTAAAGGCTTTTTATCTCAAAACGTACTTGATGTTCACGAAATTATCAAGTTGTGTCCTTTATGTTTCTGTGCTTGCAAGTAGTCTTTGTTGTGAGCTTCCGTCAATAATTCCGTTAATTTGCTGATTTGGTGTGTATGTTGAGCCCATATATCAATATAACATTGCCACATGGATTAAAAATAGTTTAAATCGAAAATTCATTAAATAGAAATGATATTTTTAAAAAACATATATCCATAGCTATAGCTTTATTTTTTCAGTGTGAGTCACGTCAACAAGTGGTGTTATCAACACGTATATTTATTTGTTAATACTATTATTTAGGTCCATAACATATGGACCATGTCATTCGCCTATATTAACTTGTGAATTAATATCACCACATTGCAGTGTGACCGTAACACTAAATATCTCCTTTTAAGTAATGTCAAAACCGTGACACCTTATAATTGTTCATTTAGTATGAAAGGAATTTATAGAGAAGAGAGACCCATGACTCCCAAAAAATCTACACAAATGCTAACCATATGAAAAGCTGTAGTTTTTCGTAAAAGAATGTAGAAAAATAGAATTGGATCATAGCGCCAGTCCAGTCATACAGCCACATACAACGTCAATAAACTCAAAAGTAGCCATCAATATTTTTCTTCTTTATTTGGACAAAAAATATTTTAAAATTTCGAATTAATATTCTTTTTCCTTATTGATACTAAAACAAGCTTCATGAAGATAATTTACTCCCGGACACATGTAACTTGTAAGGCTGGATTTAGTGCTTCGCCAATTTGCATTCCCGATAAAAAAAGGAAACACGCTTTTCTCCCCCCATTTCGTTACCTTTTGTACATATGAGCTTGCTGTTCCTTGTTGCACAAGGAAACGAAATAATAAACCTAAAAATAATTCAGACCGACAACAAAAGAAAAGTGAAAAAGGGAGAATAACAATACAGATAAATGATGTGTCCACCACGGTAGTTTTGAATCCGTTTTCTTCTGGGATTTGGTTTCCTCACAACATGCCGAAAGACAGAAACTTCTCCCATTTTCTTTTGTATTTTCATTTGTTTCACTGAAGTAGCACCGACCCACCCTCTATATAAATGATGTCCTCGGTGAAGACTAACATTCAACAAAAAATATTCAAGAAGAACGCAGACGATTATAGAAACAATAGAGAAAATTTTGAAGAAGGCCAAACCGAGAATTAGTTTATAATGATGAATAAGAGAGTCGGGATTCGAAGCGTTTGGCAGCACAATTTAGAATCTGAGTTTGTTCTAGTTAAGGATGCATTAGCTGACTACCCTTTTGTCTCCCTTGAAACTAAATTCCCATTCACTCTTTTTGAAGTCGATTCTCTGGAAGACCAATACCGAATCATGAAGGACAGTGTGAACGTCAGGAACATCATCCAACTGCGTCTAACACTCTCAGACGGTGACGGAAACTTGCCCGATTTATGCACCGATTGCTGCTACATCTGGGAATTCAACTTCAGGGACTTCGACATCTACCGGGACTTTCACAGCGCGGATGCAAACGCAATTGAGTTGCTTAAGGGGCAAGGAGTTGATTTCTTGCGGAACAAGGAAAAGGGTATTTTGTCTTCCGACTTTGTGACGATGATGCTGAAATCTAGGATGGCGCAGGACAGAAGGTCCCGTTTAACATGGGTGACTTGCCCTGGTTTTTATGATTTAGGGTACCTGATCAAGATTCTACATTGGGAGGAGTTGCCAAACGACGTTGATAGTTTCATGAAGTTAGTGGATAGGTACTTGGGGAAAAGAGTGTACGAGTTTAAATCGTCACCAGAACGTCTAAGTTTAGATTGGTTTCGAGGTAGAAAGACTATCCTTGCTACTGTTAAGGAATGGGTTCATGCCCATTCTAAAGATACTCAAAAGTCGCTGAAACTTCTAGCATGGGAGCCTCCACGAGATGGCTATTTTAAGCTTAATGTTGACGGTTGTCACAGGAGGGGTTTGATTGGAGCTGGTGGTGTGATAAGAGATTCCGAAGGAAAATGGTTTGCTGGCTTTGCTGTGAATCTTGGGAAGGGTGGGGTTTTGGAAGCTGAGCTTCAGGGTCTTTACCATGGCTTGAAGTTGGTTGTTCAAAAAGGAATCTCCCATGTGTTAGTGGAGTCCGATTCTGAAATTGCTATCAAGTTCTTGCAGAATCCTCATAGGTTGGCTTCATGTCCTTATAGGAATTTAATGTCGGATTGCTTGGAACTGATGCAGGAGATTGGATGTGTGCCGACACACGTTTATCGGGAAAAAACTCTGTGGCGGATTACCTTGCAAATTTGAGTTATGATTTGGATGCAGGTTCTTGTAAGACTTTTGAATTTGCTCCCCATTGTGTTGACACTGAGCTTCTTTTTGATCGGATTGGGGCTGCTCAACCTCGGTTGGTTAATGTTTATTAGTGTCCCTTTGTTTTGGGGTTTTTGTATAGAGCCTTTTCTTTTCACGATTCTTTTATATCTTTGATAGATAGGTAATGGAAATTATTCCCCATTTTGTACTTGTACTAATTTTAGCTCATTAATACAATCTGGTTTTTATAGCCAAAGAAGGCAAACATACATTGGGTTTGGAATCATAAGGAATGAAAAGGACTCTTGGGTTTGAACGCACATTCTTCAGTTCAACTCCAAATTAATGCTCTAAATTAAGGCATCTGGACATCTTTCAGTAGTAATGTTTCTCAACCCCAAACTAGAGAAAATAGGAATGGAAAAATTGGTCAAGGTTTTCTTCTCCCATAAAATTTATGAAAAGTCACACTTGGATAAAAATTAGTGAAGTTACATGCATGAAGTAAACATATTTAGCTACAGCTTTGTGGAGTCTAAACAATTTCAAAGTCCTACCATAAGAATAAATTTGAACATGTTGTTTCTGGACAAGTAATATTTTTTATACAAGCCATATTAGAGGGGGGAGGAATCGAGCCTAGGATATCGGGTGCACTGATAAATACTCATAACCACTTGAGCTATAAGCCCCTTGCATATGCTCAATTATGCTTTAATAGTGTTAATTTACTTACCCATACGTAAACTGACATAGCTACATCACATGTGCTAAACATATTAAAGCAATATCAACTTACCTACCAGAGTGCAACATACATGTATAAATTTTAGCGATTGATAGGTTCAATAAATTTCTATTTATTAATATGTGCCATGACTTGTAACTCAAGTGGTCAAAACAGTTACCCTGCACTCAGAGGTTTCCATGTTCAATTTATGAAAGTGAAATTTTATTTTATAACTAATCCATAAATGATATGTTTACTTTTGGGAGCTGCCATTGGCATTCAAAAGAATACGGCACAATTATATAAGTATGATTATGCACATTTTTCTTTGTTACGAAACAAGTGAGTAGCATTAGCATTCATGCCCATGATTTTTATGTTTTTTATTATGCCTGCTTTTTTTATTTAACAGCAAAAACAAAAGCAAAAACTTCTTTAAGAAAAGAAAAATTCACAGAAATACCAAATGAGCCCTAAACATGACGAAACAACCCTCTCGTTTTCTAGTAGGTCAAGTCATATATCTTGTCTCTAGAGTGAGGAGCTCATAAATAGAACAACCTTTAATTGTTGCACCACTCAACCTGATTAATGTGTGAAGAATAAAAAGCCATCGAAGCTTGTCTGTCTCGTATCTGCAAAAGTTTTTTGTTCGAGAATTAGGAGATTAGTTGCTTCACATGATACAGGTTAAAAATTACAGGAAAAAGCTCACTAATGGCACCACTGTAGCAATGTGCTCTAATAACTATTACTGTAGTATATCGATAACATCGACACAATATTAATATTTTATTTGTCATATCAAGCCTATCTTGGACTATTTGCTATCGTTATGGGACAATATGTAGCAATCTTGACAACATGTTGAAATGATATCGAGATAATGAGACTATTTGCTACAATATTAATGGTGTTTGAGAGCATTTCCCATTTATAAGATGGAATCAAGATATCAACCATTCTATTTTCCCATTAATCCAGCAATTATTTTGTCATTTACTAGCATCCTTCAAAGAAGGTAGAAAATAAGGATGAGACTCACCAATTTAGCGCCTTTGCTCCAATATTTTATCAACCACCGAGAACGTGGGAACTATATCCACAGGTACCTACACAAAATTAGAAGATACTAGTAACTATGTGATAAAAATTGTTGTGATAAATAGTTCAGAAATTAAAAGGCAGTTTACAGTCCAAAGAATTCTGGCTCATAGAACTGAGTTTGGAAGTTCAAATTACATTGGGTTTCCATAACATAAAAGAAGAAAAGGGAGATTATAAACTTTAGATGCCCTGACTGAGCCTTCATTAGGGTTCGGGACTTGAGGAAATGTCAGAAGGATGCACGAGGACAAATAATGTCCATGTAAATTAATATGAAATGTCCCTTGGTTTATTAAGAGATTTATATAACTAGAAGCAACACAAAAAATATTTTCCACCAATTATTCGCTCCTATTAAACAAATGCTTATCATATATTCATGTCAATCTGATATACTAAAAAGACATTAGGCATGAAGTGAGGCATTTCATTTCACGAGTCTGAAAAAAGTGAGAAAGACTGCTGCTAAAATATACTAAAGACAATGCTCAAAATCCAAAGCCTCAAAAGCATATTGAAACATCGCCCATAAGGGCACAGTAGAAACAACCCAAAACCAAAACCTTGGCTACTAGTGGAGAGCCCCAACATCTTAAAACCAATAGTCATGATTTATTCATTCATGCATGGAGTCATCTTTTTTCCTCATCATCTATTAGATACTTAATATGACTGCATCCTTAATGCTTGTTATGAAAATTGCATACTAGTGCATTAATTATTTATGTTTAGAGCTTAATTATTGAAATATTTGTTATACCTGAATTTTCTCCAATCTTTGCAAAGCAACTTTTAATGGGTCCGTCAGTTTGCAGTGTTTCTGAAGCAGCAAATTTGCAGCCTCTTTGTCACCTTTTGCTTGTATGGTGAGTATCTCCCTACTCAGGCTCTCAACTGCACCTTCAACCTTTTACAAAAATGAAGGAATACTTATACATAGCCTTCATGTGTCATCTCACGAGGCAAAACAAGAAAATTGAGGCAGTAATACCTTGGTAAAGTCAACAGAAAATGTTTCCTCAGGGTTCAAGATAAAGGCTCCTTTCTCATACAACCAGTTAAACTGCAATGCTTGTCCTTTTCTGAAAACATATAGTAAGTATAAAATACTTGGTGGCCAAACATGCTAGTACAGTATAATGAATTGCTAGCTTACCCGTGAGCTTCCTCAAGACCAAACCGCACTGAGCGGAAGCATCCAGCAAGAAATGAAACATACATGGACTTCAATAAACTCTTTGGGAGCAAATCCTGGACTCCCTCAGAAAAATAAAACCAGTTAACAAGCATAAGCAGAAGAACAATGCCACTAGTATATGAGTTCCATTGGTAATAACATAACTGCTTAGGATATTTATTAATAAAAATGAAGATACAAGGTATTCAAAGACTCAGGGAACAAGAGGTCCACTGTCATCTCTTGATAATAACATAATTGACCAAAGAAAGAAAGATGCAAATGCATTGGAAAACGTGTAAAACAAACCATCCCACTAAAGTGATAAAGTGATGTAAAGCACTGTCAAGAAAATAAATGGCCACTCACCTTGTTGATTAGGAATTTCAACGCCCAAAGGCCAACTATATCAGCTTTTGCTTCTTCCAGAGCAGAGTGGAGTTCTTGCAGTTCCTTTATCGGGAGATGAAAGAGACACAAGGCAAACCAGAGTTGGCATTAAGAAAATAGTGCAGACTTGAGGTAGTTAATCTTCAAAAAATGACTTCTATAATTGCTTTTTCTTAACATGTTGTAAATGACATTAGAAGCATACTAAGAAAAAGAATTTGACTATAATCATCAATAAATTGGACAGAAATTGTTGGACTACCTTTTCTTAATAAAATACAGATCATCTAATAAATGCTTCACAGCTAACAAACCCTCCATCAGTTGGAGAAATTTATAGACATCTAAAACTGCAAATAACAGAACATGCAACTAAGGTTCCTGGGGACATATCAACTACCTCGAGTATCACATGTAATCACCGGGAGTCTTCCTAAAAAGAATACTACATGATTCCGATGCGGATTCATTTTTTGCAAAATTTGAGCTAAAACTTCTAAATTTTCTTACAATAGATGCTCCATTTGAAGAATGACTAGAAATATCATTGCCCACATTAACAACCTAGGCATCACGTGCCTACATACAGGATGACATGATGTGCCTCAACACTTCAACAATGCAGTCATCAGAGCTAGATACTATGATATGCCTCCACAATACAAAGACACCACGTGTCTTCTTAAAAACTATGGTGGGCATCACCTGCCCTACTGCAACGACCAACTGTAACACTTTTCAGCTTAAAAGGGGACATATAGGTTTAAACAAACTGCACTTCAACACCAAACTGAAGAACAAAACTAAACTTCAGTAACTATCTAGTAAGGAGCACCCTAAACATCCTTAAGCAACCATATGAAGGACACACGGATGGTTACTACTAAACTTCAACAACAATATGATTTGATCATATGGGCAAACGAGATTTTCCAGGACCAAGACCAGAAACACAATAGAATTTATAGACACCAATACCCGGTGACAGATGTCAAAGATGAAAGAATAACAACCAGATGTCTTATGGTTTCTAAAAGTGATGAGAGATAACTCTGGACAGTAATGTGGAAACATATCATATAAATTATATAATAACATAGCGAAGTCAACCAAATGACTTGACGGCAAGCCATCTGGTTGGAGGAATGATTTTTATCTAATACACTAGGTCTCAGAACCAATGCTTTGATATCTATGTTGGGGAAAATAGGGAGAAAATAACAAATATATTCATCATAAGTGCACAACCCTATCACAATAGGAAACAAAATTTTACCTCAACATACAAGTAGGAAACCAACTATCCAAAGAATCTTCATTATGACATATACAATATATATTTCACTTTAACAGACACTTGCACAGTTTTTTGGTAAATAGGCTGACACTTAGTTTGGCACCCAAGTTTTCCTGACAATTCCTTTCGGCCAGTCAAGCTACTAACTGGGACTTTAACAAAGTGTTGCTTCCTGTAACACTTTAATTTTTAAATATGTTCATGTTGTCTGCCTGCAATAAGGATAGGTAGGTAGAGCATTCAACCTCAAATTTTGATATGTGCATTTTTTTGTTTGGTTTTTACATGTTTATGTTGTCTGCTGTAATCATGTAACATAGAAGAGATACATGTGGCTGTCTTGAAAATATGTTTATGTTGTCTGCTGTAATCATGTAACATAGAAGGGATAATTCTGTTGTTCATATGGCTATCCTAGACATGCCTGCTGTTTGATTTTGTTCGTTCTGCTGGTCATTCACCAGAAACAATTTACTATAACATTAAGGGAAATTTTAATGGGACCCAACAATTTTCTTTTGAGACCCGACTCTTATTTGAAATGTGAATTGTCCATTTTACCCCAATGTGAAATTACCGTTAAGGACACAAAGCATTTAAAAGGAAAAACAGATGTTCTCACTAGAACCAACAGCAGCAACACATATGCCTAGAAACCTCATCACCTTCCACAAACCCTCACTTATTCACACTTTTTTACTCTCACAATATTGAACATGTAAGTAAACCTAACAAAACTTAGATGCTCACATTGATGGAAAGAAACTATTATTGATGGATGGAGTGTTAAATCTTTGTTTGGAAGCCTCCAAATGAGCTATCAACCGACACTGTTTGATTTACCTAAAAGAAAATTTCCCTAACAATAAAATTTTATTAACTCTCCTGTTCTGTTAGATATGTTGAACCTTAGTTTGGAACAAAAGTTTAGATTACTATAAGCAGCAATGCAATCCAACAAAGGTCCTCAAACCAAATTATAGTGAACAAGTAAACAACAAACTTAGAGAGTTATGTCACTGACCAATCTCACTGTAGACTTTCTACCATTTGGAAGTGTTATGCTATGAGGTCCAATCCCATGGCAGCACTCATGGCAAATTGTGTGAGTAAAGAAAGATTCAAAATCTACAAGTTTTTGTTGTTCCTTTGTAATACAAACATCGGCTATAGGCTGAAGAATGTGCTTGAACCTGGTTTAGCATAGGCAGTTCTGACATTACCTTCCGAACACAACAGATGAATATTTCGAAAAGCAATAATTGATATTTATACATGACAAACATAAAAATGAAGGAAATTTTTACTTAGCCTCTGAGATATTCTTCAGCATGACCATTGATGTTCCTCGATCTTTTACTATACGCTCGTCATTTGGTAGATTAAAAGCAACAGTTTGAGGACCCTTTACATCCTGAGGTAAAACTTGAAGTTGTCAACGTCACTTCACCAACCAGTTAAAGTTGCATATACAATAAACACAGAAGTAGAGGACTCTGACCTCGATGGGCCCTATGAAATTAAGGACAAAAATTACCAAACCCATGGCACTTAATAGATTTATTTGTGATAGGTAAATTTATGTCAAACTCAAACCTAAACCTGAAGATGCATTTATTTTACATTTCTCCATTCTAATATTTTTCATTGACTATTATCTCGCCGAGTATACTGCTTGTCGCTCAATGTCACAGAGAGAGAGAGAGAACTACAGCAAAGGATTTTTTATTTTTGTTTTTTATGTTAGCACTAGAAGCAGGGCAAACCATCTAATCAATAAGTTGCAAGTGGCCATAAAATAGAATCATCTTGAAAGATTTTCCAGAGTCTAAACTTACTCCTGCATTATAAAGAAGATCAATGACTCGAATGGGAGCAGAAATCACATCTTTGGACTTGTACACATTGTCCAGTGGGAGATTTTGCTCCAGAACCTTATAAACAAACAATAATAGTAACTGATAGTTAGAAGGGATAACAAAGTTTGTCAGGATAATTCTTTTTTGGTAAGCTATTAAATCTCTAGTAGAAAATGATTGTACAATAGTACCTGCAAATTATCACCAAAAAGTTTTAATTGAGCTGTTGCTTTGTCATCCCGAACTCCAATAAATGCTTCAAATGTAGCCTAAGATGAAACGCAGTTCAATTACATCTAAAGGCAGAAAACTTACTACCATGCTATCACATGAATTCTCAAGTAGGTCCTTTTAGACAATAAACACCAAAATGCAAGAAATATAAAAATTATTAACTTTTAAAAAGGAAGAAATTTGAGATCAATATCATTGTAAATGTATGTTACACCTAAGTTCACAATTTTAAACTACAAGGTCATGAATGCAGAAGCTCAAAACACAAGGGTGCTCCATATAAAATACCTTATATCCAAAAAGAGCATCTTCATATGTTTCATATGGACCAATAGTAACATCCAGCTTTGAGTCCTATAGCAGAACAGTAGACAAAAATAAAGGCTAGATCAACAGTTTAATGCTCTTAAGACTTTACAGAAAATAATAAAATTTCAAGAGGAAAATAAAAAAGCTCTCATACTTCATGGGGTAAAAATTCACGTTATACAAATGAACTTCATGCCATTTTAGAGAATTGAAGTTCAAGAACAAAAGTTTCTGTAATTAAGTGCATTTTTTTATAAGGTCATTTCCTTTTAAGATAAATGTATATAACTATTCATTTTTTATAGTAAACATACTGCTAAAATTAACAGGTAAAAGAGAGTCATGACATGGTGAATGATCATAAAAAGTTACAAACGGAAAAAGGAGCCTATTTTTTGTTTTTGTGTGTGTAATCCTATTTCAGCAAGCTGGTTGGTGAATCATCTCTTCATATTTTTAACCCCATCTCGATGATTCGGAGGTCTAAGTCAACTTATGACCTTATTGGTATAACATGTGCAAAGAGGCTACTATAAGTATTCATTTCACCGTCTCATTTGCTTGACGCTGTAGTACAGGTAGTTCTGAAAAATGAGGTTGAGTTGGGTGATTTCACATTCACTAGTGGAGAAACATTGTGCTTTTGGTGATGGGAAACAAGCTTGTGAAATTAAAGTCTGTTGACAATTTTGTAGGCCATTTTGGTGGAAAAGAATGGTAGAATATGTGAAACCAAGTGTGAGGAAGAAATGTATCTATAGTGGGGCAGAGTCAAAATTTGGGCATCACTGTGGTTTTGATGTCCATAAATTAAAGATATAGTGCAGAAATTTTGCTGTCAGTTTGATTCTATCTTCAGTGGACTGCTGGTTCACAGTTGTATTGCTGTTTAGTTTAGTTAACAAAAATTACTGTGGTCATTATTTAAAAAAATCAAAAATCAAAATAAAGAGAGAGCGAGAGAGAGAGAGAGAGAGAGAGAGGGAGGGGGGGCTGTCAATGGGTAATACAATAGGGGATTCCATATTCATATATAATATAACCCCATTGTACAGCAGAGGGATGGACATCTGTTGGATCAGGCCATGCAACTTTAGAAAACAAGATATTCTAGATTGTAAATTACATAAAAATCAATTAAAGGATCAAGCCGTTTGATTAATAGCAACTTCAACATATTAATAAACCAGCTCATGGTAAAATTCTCTCTAGAAACGAATAGTAACTATAGTTATAACTGTGTATCAACACCATTTAATTTATGATTGTAAACGGTATATTTAAATACTGTACTAACCAACTCCATCCAGGCTATATCTGAGTCATAGTAGTCATTTGAAAGAAAAGCATCCGCCTTGCTGTGAAGAAACCTCTTCAAACTTCATAGAGAACACAAGATTAATTTAACGGTTGTACGAAGATGATATTTAGCATGACCACTGTCAAGTTTTGTAGGTTTACTATTTTTCCTAAAAGCTTAAGCTGGGATGTGGACCAATAATTATCATACTCTAACATGCAGAAATCACTATAGATTGGGAAACTTCAATTGCAGAGAATCAAACTACTATCTCCCGCTCTAATAGCTTATTAAGCTTAAAAAATTGTTGAATGCATTTTTATTGATGCAGTAATGAGTTTAAATACAGAGGTTTCACTGATAAAAGAAAAAAATTAATTTCAGGCTTTACGAGATATGACGTAAGACGGGATATAGGCAAATGTTTTTTATGTCCCTTGATATTTCGTTGTGATATACTGTTCGCTATCAGTCATAAATCAGCCATACTTACAGCCAAATATTAAGGGATGGCTCAACGCACATAAAATCAACCATATATCACAGCAAAATAAGAAGGGAATTTTCTTGGACTCTTGCCTTGTAAAGCATGAAATCTCTGTATTTAAACCCATGCTGCACCATGAAATGCATATAAAATTCTTAACTTAGAATCAGCAATGAAACAACTTAGAAGAAAGGAAATTCGTCAAACTCATACCTAGGAGAACTGGCCAAGTCACCAGCTTTATGCAAGATCTCAGCAGCTCGTGTGAGGGAAGAATTATACTCTTGGGAGAAAGGAACACTGTATAGATCATGAGTGGAACCCACTGAATGATTTGTGCTGCTAACTGTACTACTATACAAGGAAGAATCCAGACTGAATTCACTGTGTCTTTTAATAACAGTGAAAAAGCCAGTTGCAGCTTGTTGTTGGTCCTCTGTTAGACTGGTCTTCCACAATTCAAATTCCTACACAAAAAGAAATTTACTGGTGTTCGTATATCTATAAGATCTTTTTTTCTACAATACAATCAGCTCAATCATATACCACTTTGTCCATGTCTGGCGGGTAGAAGTTTGCACCAGGTGGTTTCAGCACAGGAAACGCAGCTTTGTATTCAAGTCCCTTCCACCCAGTAACAGGTCTAGTCGCTTCAGGAAGCAACTTTATAGCCGAATCCGCAGTTGTCAAAAATGCCTCATTTTCATCAAGGGATGACCTGTTGATAGAAAATATTGCAGACATTTATTCTAGTATCATCCAAAATTACATGAGCACACCCATACACCCACACGCGCGCGCGCGCGCACACATGGCACAGGGTACATTTGTAGGTAAAAATCGCATGTGCATAGTATACACCTGAAAGAAAACTAAGTTGAAGAAGACATACCATGGACTCTTATTAATGACGTAATATCACAGATATTTATTCAAGTAGTATCATCCAAAATTACATGAGCACACCCATCCATCCACCCACCCACACACACACACAAGCGCGCGCACGCAAATACACATGGCACACAGTACATTTGTAGGTAAAAATAGCATGTGCACAGCATACACCTGAAAGAAAACTAAGTTGAAGAAGACATACCATGGACTCTTATTAATTACGTAATACATCCATTTCAATTTGTCTAACTGTGATGCATCAGCATGCTCCTTTAACCAATCTCGTTGAACTGGATTACTGTACCAAACCTAAATGTAAAATCAGAAACAAAGAATGGAAAAAGAAAAAAAATTAGAAATGGACACTACAACATAGATTAAGAATAATAATAATAATAATAATAATAATAATAATGTATGTGCCTGACAAACTAGGTGCAACACAAGGAAAATTACAAGATATTTGCATAGCTCCCCCTTGGCTCAGTTAGTGCATTTTTACTTGCATACAAAGAAAGAAATTATAGTGCAAAATATATTCCACAATATGTGTATGCCGACGCACACTATTGGTGATACTCGAATCTACCATGCAGCAGCACATATCATTATTTTCATCCATACTAACAGTCTTTATGTATCAGAATAACATAACAGCACAAATACACAGGTTGTTTAATTATCTAACAATGCACGTGTTTCATTACAAATCTATTCAACCTGCAGGTAAAAGATTTCGTCCATAATTGCTGCAGCCTTAATTAGTAACACCAGAGCCTCCCTGTCTGCATCTGTAAGCCCTGTTAACTGCATCAAGGAAACAAAATATGCTCAACTTCACTTGGAGGACCCAACCAACTACATTTTGGGGAAAAGAAAAAGGAAGGACACAACCAACTACAAGACGAAGAAAAAGAAGAAGAAGATTGCTGATGCACAAGAGATGGGAGAGGGGAGGAGGAATTTCAGCATCAAAGTATTTAATAAGCTATATTCCAGATACGAAGTTAAAATTTAAATAAGGCAACAAAAGTTACACCATCTTCTTGAAAATCTGTAAAATTATGGTTAACCTTTTAGGTAAGAAAGCTGCTTGTACTTTCAACCAACTTTTAAATCGTTTCAACGGTTTCATTTAATATGATTACAAGTTACAGAACTGGTGGAAAGAGTAGTACTCAGGCTATGAAATACCCGCCAAAAAGGCACTAACTAAATTGTATTCCCGGAATGTTGGATGAATAAACACAACAACCACAAGGCTTGCAAATAGCACAATGCCTTTGAAAGCCCTTGTATTCCTCTTCTTCCAGATGCATACCAAATAATACCTACAGAATTCACATTCCTTATCACTGAATCATGGTGCCAACCAAAACATCTCAATGCAGATTTTGGCATAAACAAATTGATCCCACTTTGTCGAAACAAAAGATAAAGCTTCTTAGCAACTCAGGGTGCAGCAAAAACTTATAACCATTCTACCTTTCCAACTTCCAACTAAAACTTTTAATCATTGCACCATGACTGAATATTGTCTACATCCAATAAAATTTAAAGAAAAAAGAATAAACTAATTGCATAATTTACTAAAGGAATAATAGATCTAAGAAATGACCAAGGACAATAACCTCAGCACTGAGGGAAACAGGGGCATAACGTTGGAGTTGCTTTTGTAGAGATAAACTTCGAGCTATAGTGTTCTCCTTGTACCTTTAGGAAATTAAGATGAAATAGCTGACATAAGAAAGCAGTGAATATCGGAGAAATTTGAAACAGATAGTGATATAGTATTGTATGTCTTTCAGTCTTCTTGATACGGAATTAACGTTTTTCAGGCCGAGTAAATCAAAGAATAAAATTTTATTGCGATGGAGGCACAAGAACATTCATTATTTCCATGACGCTAGCGATGAACAATAAAAAGAAAGAAATTTAAATTTAAATTTCAAAATCTTTTGTCTACACAAAAAATAAAAAATAAAAACAGATATTGTTTCTTTAAAAAAAAAGAATAAGTTTAAAAATAAAAACAAAAATTTCTTGGAGATGCAACTGAATCCAGCCTTACATGGGTATCAGGACTCGGGAGTAAATTGTTTCTTGACCAGCTTAAGTCTTACAAGAAAGAATCTTCATATAGGCTAGTCATGGGATGGATCATTCCATCTCACTGATAAAATAAAATATAAAATAAAAAAACTTAAAATGCTTTTCAATAGCATACCTCCTTTCAATTATGTCAAAAAGCTGACCGTATTCCCCATTTACATCATAGGAGACATACTCAAGATCTTCTTTAGCAAGTAAGCTTCTATACTCCTCGTAAGAAATATATTTAACAGCAGAGACTTCTGTTTCCTGCCATTAGAGAGAAGAGATGTTCAGATACTCATGAAAATTTATATGGCAACATAGGCTGCATAGCAAACATTATCAAAATGAGTATAATTCAGCCATATGGTTGCATGTGCAATATCGCAGTTGCATTTTTTATATGAGCCAGCACATCTTCCTATTCTATTAGTTTTCACCCCTAGTCTTTGAACTGTTTCTATGAGTGATTAATAATTCTGATGGCCATATTTCCTGACTTAAAGATAATGTAATTAATAGATCTTCCCAGAGAAGTCAAAGCATCATAAAATAGCAAAAAGATAAAACATGAATCATTGGAACTTCTATTTGACATACATCACCCTCCTCACCTGAAGAGTAAATGCCTCAAGAGGGATTGGATTTACAGTTGTAACAAAATATACATCATTGAATTCATTATTGATGAATTTTCCATCATTTGTTACACTGCATTCAAAATGTAACCCAACATCAGTTAATACACAGCAGATCTTAAATATAAACAAAATACAAACATCATCACCATCATCATTGTCATCCTTGCCCTTTGTCGTAATTGTATTTTATTTTTATTTTTTTGAATAGAAACAATTGTATTAAACAGGAACAAAATACAAAAGTGGATAAGGAATCCACAGCAGATAGAGAACAAGACTAAAGAATAAAAACAACCCAGCTCTCACAAACCAAAGAGAAAACCCAGAACAACCTTAAGCTTTAAACCCAGACAAGCCCCGCCCCCCAGACAACCACAACTAAGCCCCGCTCCCTAGACAACCACAACTAAGCCCTCAACGAATTGGTCGTTTCGGAACACCGACACCCACTTTTCTATGAAAAAAAAAATTTATATAGAGAAACATTACAATACAAAACTTAGTGAACCAGGAGTTCACCATCAAAATGATACAACCCTAACAATCAAATCCAAAATACACCTTCTACATTGTATTTCAACTCTAAAAGACTATCCAGCAGCAGCTCCCCAATCTAATAAAATTACACAAAATGAGTTATCCCTGAAAGCTGGAGAAAGAGAAGCCCATAAAGATGCCCAAAACCTGATTCTTTCCCAAGCATTCTCTTCTACATCCCCACTATAGTTCAACAAGATTCTTCTATTTCTCTCTAACCAAATTACCCAAAAGTCAGCAAGCACAGCGTAATTCCACAAAACTCTTGCCTTCCTTCCACCACCAAAAGACATCTATTTTTCACAAAGAATGTTCGAAGGTGACTGAAGAATAACCCGCCTTTGTCCTAATTGTATGGAAAAGAAGATTAAATTCTCATCTTTCATTCTTTCATATTAATATATAATGTCTTCTACTAAATCTGAAATCTTATATCCTTTTGTCTCACTTCTTCCCTTGTTAATTTTGGTTGGCTTCTTTAATCTTTTATCTTGTACTTTAGCATGTCTTTCTTTAGTTATAGATGCATCTAGTGGTCTACGTTGATTATGCCTACCTAAGCCTAATTTCACTCCTAATTTTGTTGTAAATAGATTGGTTTCAATTCTGCCTTTTCTAGTCACACCCGTCTTCCATCTTCAAATTCTCATTTTTCTACATGGATGCATTGCACTTGCTTTTGCTTTACCATTCAACATTATGCCCCGTACAAAACAGTTGGCCTCTGGACAGTTCTGTAAAACTTCCTTTTTAATCTATTTGGTATTCTTTAATCACATAACAGACCACTAGTTTGCCTCCACGTTGTCCGCCCTTTTCTAACTCTATGAATCATCATCCATTTTCCTATGATTTCGCATTATTGATCCCAAATATCAGAAATAATTTGTAGCCCTCTGCACCTGAACTAAAGCTAATGTAAGTCTTTCAATTCACTCCAAAAAACTTCCGCCAATTGATTGTCTCAATAATTAGATGGCGTCCATAATGGATCTACTTGGTATCTATTCTTTCTCTCCTTAATCTTGCTCAACCTTTTCTCCTAAGCACAGGCAGAATATTGTCGAGCTGGCACAATTATGTTCTTTCCTAGTTGATACAAATTTGGATGGTAAATACCTATTCAAGCTTGTTTGATCAGACTGTCAATGCCAGCCATGATGTCCAGATGGGCAAGGCCACCCCTGTATCAACCTCATGCTAGATAGTGTTAAATCTACCTTACTGTTCATGCATTTTGTAGCAGTTTAACATCAAAGAAAAAACCAGGATTGTTCTCTTAAGATTGAGTGTCAAGCGAAGAGCCTACTGGGCAAGCATAATTAGGGTGCTGTACAGGTCCAAACTAAGCATAATTGTGGTTGAAGCTATGAAGCTTCTTTGGAAACTTTGAGTGCATGAAAATCTCTTGTGCTTGTCTTCTCCTCCTAGCTCTTCTACTCTTCCTAAGGATGTCTCATTAATTGTTTACTGCTTGCATGTTTATGCAGTAATCACATACAATACAACACCCTTTTAACCTTGATATACAAGGACCTTAAAACTCATCCTGTCTTGACCCCTTATTAGTAGTACTCCCAATCCTAACCCCTCTACTACTAAACACCCGTCCTCATGAACTTCAAGCCATTAACTGATGCTGTCTGGAACAATACGGGAATCCTTTTTCAGATACCTTTAACCACTTAACACCTCCACAACTTCACAAAGCCTCACAAGTAAAATAACATCTCACCTATATCTCAACGAGCTATGAAATTCTGAACTAGTGCTTAACAATAACAATGTAGACTAGCGAAGCATATCTCACTCCAAACTAACATAAAAAGGGGAAATCAAATTCCAGATGTAGTAACAACTAATAACAATTTATTCACAAAACAACAGACCATAATAAAAGCTGCTAGACAAAGAAATATATATCCAACAATAGAACAAAGGAATTGGCCTACTAACCACTCTTGAAGAAAAACGAATATCATTTCAAATGCGTCCTTTGGAAGTGTTACACCTAGCTCTTCTTGGAGCTCCCTCCTGATATATAAATTACTATGTTTCAGTAACAAGCACACTTCAGGCAGCTCTAAATTTTAACAACAAAATACGCAGGATAATTGGCATGACTGTCTCATGCACAAAAGGGGAGGTGGAGCAGTAACTTGAGGAAATAAGGAGATAAATACTTCAATTCAGAAATAGGTAAATTCTGTAATAGGCACTTCTGTATAAATTCATTACCAATCTTCTAGAACAATATCTACTAGTGAAAAATGGAAATTCAATTAGCATCACCTTGTACAAGGCATGTAAAAGGGATACATTTATAAAAACTAATTCCAAAGTAATTTTATTCTATACAAAGCAATAGTGACCAATGTCAGCTTCCTCGTAGCAGTTAATAGAGGAAACAAGAAAATATATAAGATGAAATGGACCGGATCAAAGAACTAAAACTGTAAAGCTTGGCTGAGAAAAGGGCAAATAAAGACAGTAAGCAAATTGGCTGCCGTCAATATTAATGCCACCACACCTAAAATGATCAAAGAGAAAGAAAAAAAGAAGAAGAATTTATTATGCTAAAAGGTCCATCTCCATATAGGCCTAACTCTTGGAATTTGGCATGCAATCCCTAACATGAGAATTAGGGACTAGTATTCTCCTAAAGGAAGACAAAAGTGCCTATCTGCTAAGGCCTTCAATTTCTTAGGTTCATATGATCTTTGAACTTTGTTATCATTTTATCAATCAAATTTTAGAAAGCCTAGAAAGTTTAAAAAACTCTATGAACTTGAAATCCCACAATATCACTGTAGCAAGAAGAAAGTAAAGAAAAGTCACACAAATAGCAACTAAAAAGTACAATACAATCAGCCACACTTAGCACAAAACAGACTATCCAGATGAATCACGCTAACAGGAGCTTGATTAAACAAGTAAAAACCAGGGTGGCTGCTCAAATGACTTTATAAGTAAACTGGTTATGATTTGTACATGTATTGTAAAAGGAAAATATAGTACAAGCGGTAAGTGTCTGTTACAAGAAAGGGCAATGAAGCTAGCTACCGAGCTGTTACGAGTGACGAATCACCAGCGGATATGTGTCCAGCACTTGAGATATCCCACAGCCCCGCAAATGAATCCTTGCAGTCAGCTCGTCGTTGGATAAGAAGTTCCTGTGTACTCTCAGCAAAAATCCACACATGTACAGCTCGATGGTAATCTCCGTCTCGATGAACATCTCCCCTATATGGGCATCAATAGTATTCATAGATAAGAATATGTCACAACATAGAGGGTGATAAAAACCATGAAATTTTCAATCAGAGTTACTGGTCATCAGCACAAAATTCTTCAAAAAGCAGAAACATAGCATATTGCCATCAGTAAAATCAGCTACCATGAGAACATCAAGCATGTCTACTTCTGCATACATTTAAACTGAAGATTTAAAGAAGGGCAAACAATTGGTTGGATTATTTTCAAATCATCAACTCAATTGACTTAAAAAAAAAAGTAACTGATTGAAGGGCTTTCCTCGATCAATATCTTTTTCCACAACGTGTTCTGTTTGTTTCTCGAGACATTACAAGAAAAGAGTGAACGCAATCAAACAAATTTCCTCGCTTTCTTGCTTGCTTGATTCTTCGATATAATGGGGTGTTCGTAAAATCTGGGTAATCAAAAGGAAAAGAGAAAGAGGAGGTTTGGGTTTAGCTTGCCTGGGCTTGGAAATGCCGGTCTTCTGTCCGGTTTTGGTGAGGACGTCAAAGAACTCTTCTTGTGTATGAGCATCAACCTCCGCCATTGGTCGCTACTGTCAGTCGGTCCGATTGCGGAGATAGATTATATTTCGATTTTAATTTATCAGTTAACGCGATGGCATCTACTCTGTTTGCTTTGTTCTCATTTTCCAACAGAGCATCTAATGCGATACTTTGTTTTTTTTTTACAGGCATATGATGCGATACTTGCTTTTGCTTAGTTTACGCAATGGCATTGACTTGAGTCACCTTGGGTGAAACCGTGAAAGTCAATATTTTGCCTAATTTTACCATCTAATTAAACTCATCTAACGGTAATTAATGAAGTGGTGTGGAGGTCATGATAAAAACTTACAAGAGGTGACTTGCCCATGGAGCTTACATCCTCTGATCCTCTCCGGTGCAATTCAAAACTCTATTTCCCTCTATCTATTAAGTTGATGTAAATTCTAATATTTGTGTCTCTTAAAGCCTGCAATTTGTGCAAAGGGGCCTTTGCTTAGAATATAAGAGGACATACCAGTTAGAGCTAATTCCAGGATGTTTATGGGGTCTCTATTAAAGGTGAACGCTCACTCTTCTCTAAATACTCGATCTTCAAAGTGTTACTTCCTATCTTTGTTTTCATTTTCATTTATTTTTATTGAACGATTTATTCTCTGCAAGTTTCGATGTTTGTTTGCGTTTTTGGTTAGATGATTTACCCAACACAACCTATTATATGTTGTTTTTAGATCTTAAATATAGGGTGATGTTGAACGAAACTAAAATTATTCGGTTAACACCACCCTAAGAGCATCCACAGTAGGAGAGTATATTTTCGGGGGTATAAAGCCACTTTTGCCTTTTACACCTCTGGGGGTTGTACATGTGATTTTTGCTCTAGCGGGGAAGATATAAATCTAAAGATGTATAATTGATTTCTTTCACATTTTTTGTTGTAGGTCCCACTTTTGTCCATTTTTTCTCATGTAGGTTTCACCCACAAGAGATGTAAAAAACGATGTATATGTGCATCTAAATTTGCATCTTATGGTAGTGATGCAAATTTACACTCGTTTACACCTCTCCATTGTGGGTAATTCCGATCACAAACGATGCATATTGAACATACACCTCATTATAAACACTCCCACTGTGAATGCTCTAAATATAAGATAAGAAAAGGGCTCTGATTGCTTTTCACGGCTACATGGGTCAGAGAGAATTTTAAAGAACGCAAGCCCAAGATCTGGACCTAAAACATACAAGATGTAATGAAGGCCCAACACAACTCCACGCCAAAAAGCATACTGAGTTGGATCTGCAACAATGAAACCGAAGAAAAGGGAGAGAGATACCTTAAGCTGCTACTGATCAGAAGACAAAGGAATACATGTAACAACAGCAGCAAAAGTAATGGCGTCGTCGTCTGCTCTTCGAGAGCTTCAGCGCGAATTGGAGGCCAAAGCTAACGATCTCAGCAAAATCCAGAAAGGCAAGTCGTAGCTGTATGCATATACACTTATAATTAATATGTAAAACCCTAACATGGTATTCGCTCTTTCAGATATTTCAAAGAATCACCAAGTGAGAAAGAAGTACACTATTCAGCTGGGCGAGAACGAGCTCGTTCTCAAGGTCACCTTCTATCTTGATTGTGCTTTCTTTATTTTCTGTTTGGTTACCGGGAAAACAAAGTCAGCTCTTGTTATGACTTTTGCATAAGCTGAGACGCTAAATTTCATTTAAATAGCTTTTTCTTTCTTCAGAATGCTTGAAGTGATTTTCTGCTAAATTGATTACCTGATATCTGATGTATATGCAAAATTTTCATTTCGTTGGAAGCTAGTGTGCTTTGTTGTAGTGTTTATAATCTCATGGTTATTGGTTAGTGATCTACTATTGGATTTAATACTAATATGATTGCATGTGTTTGTAGGAATTGGATCTCCTGAGCGAAGACGCCAATGTTTTCAAATTGATCGGTCCGGTTCTTGTGAAGCAGGATTTGGCAGAGGCTAGGGCCAATGTGCGCAAGAGAATCGAATACATCTCTGCTGAACTGTATGTTTCTGTTTCATTTGTTTATTATATATGTATATACATAATATTATGGTTTGTACTCTGCACTTGCAATATTTGCACTAGTTTAGTTTTTCATTTTAACTTTATGGATTATTGTTGTTATTTTAGCATCTATTTGATGAAAACGACCCGAATGGAGAATAAACCCTGCTGCATTTCTCAACACTTACTTTATCAATAAGTAACTCTTGTATTTTTTATTTTATTTTTGTGAACAATTTTAGAATTTCAGAATTTTGTGAGAAAAGTGAGAGTTTAGATCGAATGTTGAAATTGGTCAAACCAATTTAATAATTTTTTGGTAAATTTAAAATTATAACTAATCTATGTTAAATGATAGGCCTTGATCATTGATCTTAATGCTGGAAAGTGAAATTTTTAAATGGAACGTAACGAATCTAACTAAAGCCTTTTCTTTTCTGAAATTGCATATGGTACACAGTTTCCATATCAAATATACGATTTATGATATGTTGTATAAAGGCCGAACCATCAACAAGCTTCTTTGAGGGTAAATTTCTCCCCACCAGATGGGGAAGGACCAAGGGTGCAATAGCGTAACAAAAAATGCAGCTCTGCATTCTCAAGAACCAAATCTTTAGAACAAAGTTTTTGTAATTGTAGCTAATAGCTATCAATTTCATGGATGTTGAATTGCTTACTATAAAGCAAGACGTACTAGTACTGAGTTTTCACAAAATGATGTGTAGGGGTCTCTGTTCATTGGAATGAGTTATGTTCACAGTCGTGGTGAAGGATGTCCATTATTTCATAGGAGGATGTTCAATGTATTCGTATGCCTATTACCTTCATATATGTGATTGTGGGCCTAAGAAATAAATATCTAAAGAAATGGGACTGTTTGGTTAAATCCCAAAAAAGTGGAGAGGAATGAATAAATTGGGTATTGATGTCAATTATAACCAGGTTTTGGTGTGTCTTTCTCTGAAGCTGTGTTTTCTGTGCAGAAGCTTATCTTGAGAATTTTTTTCCTCAAGAATTGTTAGATGGATCTCATACTAGTTATATGCTTTTCTAGACCATAAATTTCTCAAAAAAAATTTCCTATCTTTTTTTTTTTTATCATCATAATCATATTTCATGCGAAACTTGTCTCACATATGTTTGACACTGAAACTGGTATTTATTCTGTGCAACAGGAAGCGGCTTGATGCTACTCTTCAAGATTTGGAAGAGAAGCAAAATAGCAAGAAAGAAACGGTTTGTATTCTTCCTTGTTTCTGTGTATCTTAAATGCTCTCATATAATGTCATAGCCGTTCATACGACCTCTTGACTTTGATTGGGTTGTGGTAATATATCTATGGTATTTGAAGAATTATTTCAGATAGTGTACAATTAAATTGTTGTGCCTCTCCTTTCCACCTCCTCGTCGTTTTGAAGTTGACTAGGGTGTACTCTGCAAAGGGTCTTAGCTACAAGTGAACACCATTCTTAACCAATGTAGACATATATTTCAATATTAATTGCTTCCATTGGATATGTTGTCTTGCAGATGTTAAAATTACAACAGAGGGCTCAATCTCTCCAGGCTGGAAAAGCAAAGGCATAATCTGTTTTCGTAGTTGTGCTCTCTTTTTCAGAAGTAATGTATTCTATGAGTTTCTGTTGACGCTTGGCTGTAGTTTCAGTTTTTTTTTCTTCTTGTTTGTTCAATATGATTTGTAAACCTACGTGCCGACACGAAAAAATACAAGAGTTACTTATTGATAAAGTCAGTGCTGAGAAATGCAGCCGGGTTTATTCTCCATTCGGGTCGTTTTCAACAAATTGATGCTGAATGTATTTTGTATTGTGAAACAACATAGTGGTTGCCCAAACCTCATCTCTTGTATTTCATTGGAAATAGTCTTTCAACACAGCACTAGCAGAGCAGCTCATAACTTTGATGCATTTTATCCCACACAACTTTTAAATGAGAATACCAGGGTGAGTCATTTCTGTCTCCGTAAATGATTCAATAAGTCAAGGCTAGCTACGCTATATGGCACTCAAATTAATGTGTTAATTGCCTCACCCCGGATGTTTTAGCTTTCTAACTACTTCAAAAAGCATGCTGAGAAGGAAAGCACCCAAATTTTTTCAGAACAATTCTCGCAGACTTTGCCTCCAAGGGGACGAAACTATCTACTTCGAACTTAAGCAGGATGCCATGAGAGCATCAAAAATTTGATCAAAAGAAGGTTTGAATATAAATCAAAAGTTCAATCCCTTTTGTTAGGGTAACCCCAAAGTACACATATGTAATATATATATATATATATATATATATATATTTTTTTTTCTTTTTCAGAGTGCCAATAAGTTAACATCACCCAAACAGAAAAGCAGACTAGAAGGGAAGGGAGGCAATCTTTCCAGTTTCCATGGCTTTAAAGATCAAATTCAAGATAACCAAACTTCATGCTCATGTTTAATATCAATCTACAGAGTTTAGCCCCCTCCCACATGTTCATCATGCACATAGTCCCGAGTCCAAACGGACTATAAGAAACCAAAAGATATGATTTCAAATATTGGTTCCACCACCACTTACCCACATGACTTTTATGTCAATATCTATGGTTTTATAGTACAAATTGTTCTCTCTCTCTCAATTTTCTTTTTCATATCTTTAACGCCATAATCCCTTAAATTCACTTTGGATGTCGTGCATATTGATGTATGCCGAAACAGTTTAAGCTTTTGAAGCCAATGATATGTTCTGCATATTGATGTATGCCTAACATGCTATGAGAGCATTTTTTTTACAAGAGAAGAGTCATGAAAGTTCGAACATCCCCATTCCCACTTCGTTTGTTGGATTGCTGGGTACGGGGTGGGTAAAAGATGGATGCAGAGTTAACATGCATTTGCATTATAGTCATGAGTAGTGTCGAAGAATATGCAGGGAATATGAGATATTTGGCAACAATATTCACGTGATTCTATTTTCAGCCCATCATCAGTACTGTCATCCTGAAGAATCCTTCTAAAAACTTTGGCTATTGTTTTTTCATATTTTATTTTAGTACAAGCGATAGTCTAAATTATAGGGGTTCGAATTGTTTACACCATAATCAACCGAGCATATCCAGTCTCAAAACAACTAGCACCAAGGCAGACACGCCTTCTCTCATGCCAAAGGAAGACACTCTTCCGAGGTGCCAAGCACCTGCCGAAACTCCCGACCGCCAAAACTCACAAACTGCTAAACCTAATTCTCATGACACGTGTCGCCACCGCGGCGACTTGCACAAAGTCCCACATCGGAAATCTACACCAACCTCTCACTTTCACTTCCCTATAAAAAGGGAACAGTACCCTAGTAAGAGGGGTAACTACTTTTCTGCCTTTTACTATTACTCTGCAAAAGTTACCCTTCTTAGCTGACTTAAGCATCGGAGAGCCTTCGGCCGGCACCACACCGGTGCCCGGAGCTTAACGACTGCTTCCCTTATTTTTGTCTTCTGCAGGTTAGCCTTTATTGAAGGCCCAGACCCTTTCCCTGCTGAAGACAAACTCCTTTTTCTCTAAGTTGCCCCTCTCCGAAAAAGAGCATCAACAGTTTGGCGCCGTCTGTGGGAATCGATACTTGAATCCCATTTTTCTCTACCAGCCCAGCTGGCTCCTTCTCCTATCCTGCCCCATCGCCTCTTCTTCACTCCACACTCAGCTATGCCTACTGAGGATAGCTAGGGGACTCAGCACCATATCCCTCATAGGGGTACCTCCTAGAGGAGACCTTCAGCAGATGCCAATCTCCAGGCAGAATTGGAGAGCCTCCGCGCCAGTGTCACCAAGATGTCTGAGAAATATGACCATCTTCATGCTAAGAACGTCGTGCTCGAGCATGACTACCGCACACTGAAGCGTAACTGGGAGATGAATCAGACCCAAGGCTCCCAACGCAGCCCTACCCAGGAACCTGAGTGTACACAGCCAAACCAGCCGGAGCACTCCCACCACAATGTCCCAACCCAGCCTAGGCCCAGCAAGGGTAAAGGCCCCCTCTATCCGGAAACGACCAAGTCGCAGCTTCTCCGCATCTCCCCGCCAAGGAACCGGCCCCATGAACCAACAAAGGTCTACAGGGATTGTAAGGACCGTATCCTGGACCGTCAAACGGAACCCCCTCTTATCTCTGTTAATCTCCAAGACCCAAAGATGAAACACATGGGCCCCCCGCCTAGGCCTACGCAACTACCCCTTGGAGAAGGTATAGGGGACTCGGAGAATTGGGGGCAGGATTACTTAGAAGACTACGAGTCTTATCACACCGAGGCACCCGAATCTTTTCTACCAAAGACCCAGCTCTAAATTTCAGCTCCAAAGGTCACGACAAATCTGCCAAAGAAAACACCAACAGCTCAGCCGATTTCTACAAGGATTAAAAAACTAAAAAAAAAAGAAGTTCAAAGAAGAAACATGCTCAAGACACCCATAGTGTGCCCAGCTCTTATTCCCAACTCATATTTTCCGAACCAAAAACGACAAGAGACCTTACAAAACTTTCAATCAACCCTTGCCGAACGGCAAGGGCTGAACCTTGGCTAGTGAAGGCACAAGAACAAACACGGGCCCTAGCTCCAAACTCAGGGGTCCTGGCTCCTAGCTCCAAGCTCAAGGGTCCTAGCTCCAAGCTCACTCAACCTCCGACCCGAGTCTTCAACACGAAAGCCTGCCCAAGCTACCGCAGCAGGTCACGGCTACACCTATCCGAAGCCACGGCCCGGCACCACCCTCTTGCCGAACTCTGAGCTTACCAGCGGAAGGATGAACAAGATAAAACCAGCCTCCCTCCAAGCTCCTCCTTGCCGGACGATACCAACTCCGATCTCTTCCTTCCAAGAATCAACTCTCAAGGGCCAACTCAAGAACAAAACACACCCTTGCCGAACGGCAAGGGCTGTGTGGAAGGAAAATGGGGGACTAAAAATGGATGCTACTTCACGACACTCAGCTTAGCCTCACCGATTGGCAGCTCTGCTGAAAAATGGCCAAGGCCTCGAACACCCAAGAGATCTCACAGACCAGATATTGACGGAATCCTTGATCCCCATTGCCGAATGCCTAGACCCATTTATAACTCTAAGCCCTAGCTATTTTCAATTTCGCTAGACTTAGAAAGCCCAGCTACCTTGCCAAAACACAAAACTCCTAAACCAGCTCAGCCTTGCCGAAGGAAGAGGAAGCTACAAGAAAAAAAAGTCCCAACCATTTCTTGCCGAATGGCAAGAGCTGTTCACACTTATTTATATACCCCCCTCTAAAAGACCAAGCCCTAGCCCTTCTATCCCAATCTTGGCCTCCTTACCGAAGGTACAAAGTCCCAGCTACAATATCACTCTCTCTCCCAATCTTGGCCTCCTTACCGAAGGTACAAAGTCCCAGCTACAATATCACAAGGGCCTAGCCACACAAAACCCAGGTCATGCTAGGTACCTAGCCCTTTTTATTTCACCTTGCCAAACGGCAAGAGCAGCCAAAACAATTTTTTATAAACCTAACGAAAAAGGCCCAGCCTTTTTGCTTAAACTACCTTCCCAAAACTCTGCTTGGGCAGGCTTTGCCCTTATTGCCGAACGGCAGGGGTCATGGGCATGGCCACACACCCCACCAAAACCCCATTTTTTGGACATACCTCTTTGAAACCCTTTGCCAACAAAGCCCACACCTAGCCTAGGCTATTTTGGCCAAGACAAAACTATCATGGGCCCATACAAGTGTTAGCAAAATAAAAAAGGGGGGGGAATGTCTTGGGCTCCTTGCCGTTGACAACTAGCGAAAACCCACACCACAAGGCCACAAAAAAAAAAAAAAAAAAAAAAAAAAAAAAAAACTTTTCTCCTTCAAGCTTCAGCCCAATCTTTTGGGACCCAAGTTTTTGCTGCCTAAAACCATCACTTGGTTACCAAACGGCAGGACCCAGGTCATAAACACTAAGGCCCACAGATTTTCTTATTGAAGCTTCAAAAACCCAGGTCTACTTTTCTTTTAAAAGTACCCAGCTACCAACAATCACTGAGGCTAACACAACTTTTATCATACCTTCCAAGTGTTAACACAACTTCTAGCATGATAACTTGGGGGACTAGGGACTGCCCTACGGCTCCCACTGAACCTGGAATGCTCGGTCATGATCACACAAAAGCTTACAAGTTCCCAACCCAGAAGTCACTTCTTGATCGCGAACTTGAGGGACTACTGTTTACACCATAATCAACCGAGCATATCTAGTCTCAAAACAACTAGCACCAAGGCAGACACGCCTTCTCTCATGCCGAAGGAAGACACTCTTCCGAGGCGCCAAGCACCTGCCGAAACTCCCGACCGCCAAAGCTCACAAATTGCTAAACCTAATTCTCATGACACGTGTCGCCACCGCGGCGACTTGCACAAAGTCCCACATCAGAAATCTACACCAACCTCCCACTTTCACTTCCCTATAAAAAGGGAACAGTACCCTAGTAAGAGGGGTAACTACTTTTCTGCCTTTTACTATTACTCTGCAAAAGTTACCTTTTTTAGCTGACTTAAGCATCGGAGAGCCTTCGGCCGGCACCACACCGG